AAAGTGAGCTGGCTACTCTAGGCAGCAGACTGAATAAGTTTAGACATTCCTTTTTCTGGTCCCCACTGCTGATCTGTCATGGATGTTTCGCAAAAGCCAGCCATCACTTGTTGCTGCAGTCAGAGGGCAGATTGATGGTTTCCTGTGGCCTGGTTCCTTGCTTTTTTGAACTCTGGCAATGATCTCATCCTTCGTCGTTATGAATAAAATGACTTTTCTCTTGCCCATTCTGGTAGGTTTTATTGTGTCACAGGGTCTATCACACCGACACCCACGGATGGGATCTCAGGTGCTCCCTGTCCCATGGGCCACTTCTGCCCCTTGGGCAGTGAGAGCCCCACACCTTGCCCTCCAGGCTCCTACATGGCTGAAACACATGCGCAAGGATGGTGCCACACCTGCCCAGAGGGGAAGTATTGTCTCCCTGGCCACTTGCCACAGCTGTGCCCCAAAGGTGAGTCTTTGGCTTCCTCGATTCACAAAGCTGTCCTTGTGTCCCACAGTTTGTAATCTATTTGTGCTTCCATTTTGCAAGTGCATGTGTCTAGTCCCCATGGGCATGAGATAATGGTTTCCCCATATTTCCCTTCCTGGGTTTGCTGTGTCCTGAATTCTGGTTTGATGAGCATTTACTGTTCCCAACCCTAATACTGCAGAAAGCCATCTAATTAGATTTTAATTTGATCCTGACTTGTTTTTAGGAGGTAATTTAATTATTGTTTGATTTTATACCAATGTTATATATTTGATGTTAGCTGCCCTCAGCCTGGTTTTGGCCGGGGAGGGCAGGATACAAATAAAAGTATTATTATTATTATTATTATTATTATTATTATTATTATTATTATTATTATTTTCTAAAATTAACTGGGGAACTAGAGTTTTGGGCCAGGGTCTGCAACTTCAGAGTTCGTCCAGTTCATCTGCATCTCCCTTCCCCTACTTTACTGACTCATGTGTCATCTATGGTGAAATACTTAAATAAAAGTAATCTTGATGTGATTCTTCCCCCCCCCCAACAGTTTGCTGTTTGTCCCAACAGCTTTTCCAACAGTTTACATGGATGTCTCCTTCCCTTCCAGGCTTTTTCTGCCCTGAAGGAACAGGCTTAAACTGGCAGCCGTGCCCTCCAGGGACCTACAGCCCTATCCAAGGGATAGGTAGTCATACTGACTGCAGATCATGTGATGGAGGAAAGTTCTGCATGTACCACAATGCAACTGATGTTACAGGACACTGCTGGGAAGGGTATTACTGCACCCAGGGTTCAGACCGGCCCAATCCTGAGGTTCAGCTCAATGGTATTGGCTCTTTCATTTGAATCAATGTGATCAGTGTAGAACTGGCATGGTTACAGGTGCTGCATAATATCCATTCCACATTTGCAAGAAATAAATATGTTAATGTGGTAGCACCTACACTTTGGAACTCCCTGCATATTGACACCAGGCAGGCACTTTCACTGCCAGTGTGGTGTAGTGGTTAAGAGCGGTAGTCACGTAATCTGGGGAACCGGGTTCACGTCTCCGCTCCTCCACATGCAGCTGCTGGGTGACCTTGGGCCAGTCACACTTCTTTGAAGTCTCTCAGCCCCACTCACCTCACAGAGTGTTTGTTGTGGGGGAGGAAGGGAAAGGAGAATGTTAGCCGCTTTGAGACTCCTTTGGGTAGTGATAAAGTGGGATATCAAATCCAAACTCTTCTTCTTCTACTATTCTTTTCAGCACCTGCTGAAAACATTTTTGTTTAGATGAGTCTACCCAGAAGTTTAGAATGATGTTGTTTTTAGTCTAATGTTGTTAATCTTTATTTGTTTTTACTAATAATATTGTTATTTTATTCTTTTATTCTTTTTGTAAACTGCTGCTTTTTAAAAAATAATCAAGCAGTATATAAAATTTTATGGAATAAAATTATTATTATTTGTATTTTTCCAAGCTCTAGTACAGTGGATTAAAGGGTTGGATTGTTGTGTTAGTTTAAAATAGCCTCGTCTTTACCATTCACTTCTTCTTTTTCTTTACTCGTATGTTATTGGCACTATTCTTACCACCTAATTTATTTCCCCTTTGTTGATCACAGATCACAGTGCTGGCCCATGTCCTTCCGGTCACTACTGTCCAAGGGGCACAGCTGTTCCCAAGCAGTGCCCTGTGGGAACATTTGCCGCTAGCACCAAGCTAATATCTGAGGTAAAAGCAAAAATACAGTTATAGCTGTCCTTTGTAGGAATTGGATATCTTTCGTATATACTGGCTATAAATTCACTGATCCTTAACAAACCCCATACAATTAATAGTGGTTAAATGGAGGTTGTGCTCTGAATTATAACCACAAAAGCATTGTTATTCCATTTTAAGAGTCGGCACATGCTTGTGTGTGTGTGCAGGTGTGTGCATGAGTTTGTGTGTGCATGTGCATGTACACACACACACACACACACACATTTTTATTGTACTTAGTAGTTAAACAAATTCACTTTGCAGGCATAAGAGAGGAGACCTTTTTCATGGTGGCCCCAGAACATAGAAGTCTCTCCCTTCAGATGCATCCTCAAAGCCACTGCGGATTATTAAGTGGGCCTTAAAACCCATCTTTCCCTTATGACTGTGTCCTAAGAACTAATGTAGAAGAGATAATCCTCTTAGCAGTGTTGCAATTCGTACCTAAGGGGCAGGACATTTCTTTTTTTTAAGTTTTAACTAATCTATCTTTTTAAAACAGTTGTTAACACTTCTACCATTGTCAGTTTATGACACTGGTAAGATCCTTTTGGTGGGCTATGCCCACAAAAGCAGCCTATAAGTAATTTTTATAAAAACATAGACAGTGTTTTAATCAAGATTCATAATGCAGCGAATGCTTGAAAGCAAATTCCTGCTGTAACCGTAGCCTGTTCCCTTCCACCTAAGATTCCACGTAAAAGGGCATACATCAGAGGTCATCAACATGGTGCCCATGGGGGTTAATGTACCCACAAATACCTCCCATATTGCCCATCAAAGGCCTTGAAATATCCCCACAATGCAAAAATGAATGCTCCCTGTTCTTGTTCAGTTCCAGTTTGCACTGGCTTGTAGCATTGAACATGTCCCATCAAACATGCACACATTTCATTGAATACCCTGATGTGATACCCACCCTCCTTTAGTCAGTGTGGTGTAGTGGTTAAGAGCGGTAGACTCGTAATCTGGTGAACCGGGTTCGCGTCTCCACTCCCCCACATGCAGCTGCTGGGTGACCTTGGGCTAGTCACACTTCTTTGAAGTCTCTCAGCTCCACTCACCTCACAGAGTGTTTGTTGTGGGGGAGGAAGGGAAAGGAGAATGTTAGCCGCTTTGAGACTCCTTAGGGTAGTGATAAAGCGGGATATCAAATCCAAACTCTTCTTCTTCTTTAGATTCTGAACAAAAGAAAGGTGCAAAGAGTCTCTCTGAGCAAGCACAGCAGTGCCAGGTGTAGGTGCCTTTTTTCATTGATGAGAAAAATGCCCATCACACCTTTTGTGGCCCTGTCGGTCCCCCTTTCTACTATTTCAGAAGTGACAACCATTTTGTGTTAAGCCATACTGTGGCAGCCATTTTATGTAAGGCCACATCCCTAGGACCGCTGGTTTGTGAGTCTCACCCACGTTCTCAAAATTCCAGGTGTGCCCTCAGACCATAGCTGTCAACTTACAGACTTGAAAATAAGGGGCCAGCAGCCTTGAAAATAAGGGACCAGCAGCCAAAATAGCAGTCCCCTGTTCCAGGCACTCCAGTCTTCCTGTCCTCCTGCAGTCTGGTCAAACTCATGCTGGTAGCTTCGTGAACACTGTCCAACCAACTTTGTAACCAGAGGTTCAACTGAATAGAATCTGAATCACATGCACCACAAGGCCTATGCAGCCTCAACTTAAGATGGCTCCCCAGCCTGGCTTTGCACTGCAAAGTTTGCAGCAGCACGTGCAACAAAATGGCGTCCAGCATTCAAAACCCCCCTCAGCTTGCATTAACTAGCCACACACAAGGCATGCAAGCTCCACCCCCAGTCGTTCTTAGACTTCTTATTGGGTGAGCAACACAGCCAAGCAACACAGTTGGAGCCTCCCTCCTCCCTGGCCAGCAGGGAGGGAGGGAGAGGAGCTGCTTCCTTTGAAATTTAAGGGACATCATTTAAGGGACATCCATCAATAAGGGACAGCAGCGGGACATGGCGCTGGAATAAGGGACTGTCCCTTCAAATAAGGGACACTTGACAGCTATGCCTCAGACCCAAAAAAGGTAGGTGAGCTATGACTCTTGCATCTGAAAAGTATCTCTGGCCACCTTAATTTCTTGCAGACCGAGTGCTCTTCCTGCTTGCCAGGCCACTACTGCAACACTCCTGGTCTGACAGCACCGATAGGATTGTGTGAAGAAGGATACTACTGCATTCTGGGCTCCACAGTCCCCAACATACCAGCCATGGATGAGACTGGAGGCCCATGCCCCAGAGGTATTTCCACCACCCCTCCCCAATTCATGAAATTGATCAAACTGCCTACCGCACTCCACAGAAAAGGTCTTTGTCTTTAACATCTCCCAGTAAAGTTAGGAGAGAATCCCTGCTTGAAACCCTGGAGAACTTCTGCCAATCAGTTTTTAAAATACTGAGATGGATGGACCAGCAGCTTGATTCAGTGTGAAGGAGCTCTCTATCTTCATAGAATCTTAGTACTGTGGAGTTGGAAGGTACCTCCAACCCTCTGCGTTGCAGGAATTGCAGCTAGGGGGTGGTATTTAGGAAGAGAATTCCCAGCATGCTCCTTGTTTCTCTCAGCCACCAAAGCCAGAGGTCTTCCCAAGCTTCAGGGATTTTGCCATCCTTTTTAAACAATTAATTGAACAAACTGATGACATACAAGGCTATCATTGACTACTAGCCACAATGGCTTTACTCTACCTCCACTGGTGGAGGCATTCTGCCTATAGATACATCTGCAGGTGAGCAAAGTGCTATTTTCCTGCTTATAGTTTCCCACAGACATCAGGTTGGCCACTGTGAGAACAGGATGCTGGACAAGATGGGCCATTGGTCTGATCCCAAAGGCCTTTTCTTATGTTCTTATGTGAGCTGTTTTTAGAGTTGCTGTTGATTTTAGGTTGCCTTGCTGTGCTTTCCCCCCCTCTGGCCTCAAAGGGGCATTCCTGATTTCACACTTTTGCTTCTTTTCCAGGCTATTTTTGCCCTCAGGGCACAGCCAATCCTTTGCCTTGCCCGGAAGGGTCGTATAATCCTTTACAGAGGCAAGCCACCTGTCTTCCCTGCCCTAGCGGGTAAGAAAGAGAACAATAATTAATCATCTGCAAAAACAGAAACAGTTTTAGCAACAGTAGGAGCCAAGGGTGGGGCTAAGGGCAGCAACTGGCTGCAGCTCCAGTTGGGCAATTTAGTGAGAGGGATGTTAAAGCCCTCTGCCATCACTGAAGCTCATTAAAAGCAGCTGGTTTTTCAATGTGTGGGGATCTTATCAGGCACCATCTCATCCAGCTGATCCCTTGGTGTACTAAGACTGAAGTGTTGGCTGCAGAAATTGAACTTCTCTTCCCATCCACCCCTTTTCTTTTCTGGATGCAGGTACTTCTGTCCAAAGAATTCCTCCTCTTTGGATAGGAACAAATGTCCAGTTGGCCACTACTGTCCTATAGGCACTGTCTCAGAAACCCAGTTCCCATGTCCCCAAGGGACTTACAATGCAAACACAGGAAGCAGCGATCCATCTGTCTGCATAGCATGTGATCCAGGTAGGTATCTCATCTCAGAACATCCTGTTCGGTGGGCCAGGAACCCATTCAATGAACTCCTATGAGAAGGGGACGACAGAGGACGAGATGGTTGGACAGTGTTACAGAAGCGACCAACAGGAATTTGACGAAACTCCAGGAGGCAGTGGAAGACAGGAGTGCCTGGTGTGCTCTGGTCCATGGGGTCACGAAAAGTCGGACACCACTAATTGACTAAACAATGACCCCCCCTTCTAGGAACAGGACTTATTTAACTCACCTCTGAGTAAACGTGCATAGGATTGCTTTGTTAGCTCTTCAAATATCCACTTCCTGCAGTAGACATAACCCCTAGCATAGGAGCCAACTCCTAATATTTGAGGGGGGCAGGCCCCTCCAAAGTTGATGGACATTGCCATTCAAATGGAGGTGTGTGTGTGCCACATCATGTGATCGATTGTGCAGGGCAGGGCTTACTTGCCCCCCACCCACAATATTTTATTCTAGTTGACACCCCTGTCCCCTAGTTAAATATTAATTAAGCCTATGAAATATGGCTGTTTCCATTAGGTGAGAATGTTACTGGCACTGAATCAGAATTGGTGTTTATGTCGATGTAGGTATATTCAAGGTTCTTTTTAAAATCCACAGAAAGGCCCTACCCTTTTCCATATTTCTTCAGAAAAAATATGACCCCTGATCAAAATGTTAAACCACAGAATGTTCTATATGCACTGATTCTGTTGTTAAAGAAAATGAAGAGTCTCCTAGCTTAGACAATGGAAATTTTATGAGCTGCTCATACAAGCCCTTCTTTGCTTTTCAAACAAATAATTAAAGAGAGTATGTCTATTGCCCTTTTGAACCATATCTGTTGAAGAGCATGTATGCCAATTTGTGTGAATGGGTTTGCCATTTAAACATACAATCATCGTGGGGGCTTTTCTTTGTGTAAGCATCCAACTTTCCTTAGGATTAAATTACTCGTGTTTTATTCTGCCAACAACAGCGGATTTCAAAGAACCCTTTGGAATGCTGCATAGCTTGGGGATTCTAATTGTGAAAACATTAAGAGGGAAGTATTCAATGTAATTAAAGTAACAATCATGTTCTCACCTGAGAGTAAGTTTGATTGAACTCAGCGGGATTCACTTTTTATTAACATGCAAAGTAGTAGGCATAGCTTCTGAATGCTAGTTGCTGGTGATATTCAGCAGGAGAGTCCTATTGCACTCATGCCCTGCTGGTGGGTTTCCCAAAGGCATCCAGTTAGCCACTGTGAGAAAGAGGATGCTTGGCTAGATGGGCCTTTGATTTGATCCAGCAGTGAACTCTTATTTATGTTCTTCTGATGGTGCTGTTATCTACAAAAAGGAATTTAAGATAAAGTGCTGCTTCTTTTTGGTTCTCAGTTGTGAGTTGGTTTATGTCCAGGGATTGTGTACATGATTTTTGGTGAATCGTGGTGAAAGGTTTTGCACCAGTGGCATGTTCTTGCTCAAGAGAATGCAGAAGCAGGTTGATGACAAGTTTGCTGCATAATAGACAGCAGAATCTGTAGGGCAGCGAGTTTCTACTTGCACAACAATTGCATTGGGTCCCTCTGTTGTGCAACGTAAAAACTGCAAGCACAAGAGCCATTGTGTTACTGGACTAAAAATGTTGGTATGGCCCTCTGTAACTTTGTGCTTTCATGCTACAATCTTATACCGAATATTTGACTGAATATTTAAATTTAATTTGAGACAGAGAATTTGGTTATGTTTTCCACTGAAGTTGTGATGTTGGTGCTCTTTTCTGTTATGTATTCCTCATATCTATAGATCTATATTAATAACAGTGGGTTGCAATCTTTGTTCCAGGCCATTACTGTGCCCTGACGGGTCAGTCTCGTATCACAGGTCCTTGCTTGGTGGGGTACTTCTGCACCATTGGGGCTACCACCCCAACACCTATAAATAGTCTGGCTGGAAATGTATGCCCAAAGGGGCATTACTGCCCTGAAGGATCTGCCTTGCCCCAGCCCTGTCCTCATGGTTTCTACAGTAACTCTACAGGAAACACCAAGACTGAAGACTGTCTTCTGTGTCATGCAGGTACAATGAGGAGTTTAGGGAATTAGAATCCTAATGGTTCCTGTGAGAGCTTCCACCATTGCATTGAGATCCAAAGGATTTTCAGAGCCCCAGTGAGGAGATGGAGCTCTACACAGATATGATCTTAGGACCTTTTCCATCCTAGAGCCCTTATGAGATCTGTTTATTTAAACAGCTTTTCTTCTCTATCTTCAACCACCAAATATCTGGGTAAAGAGTCTTACCCCTACTGGCTGGGCTGATGGGAGTTGGAGTCTGCAAGGGAAGGGAAGAGGGGTATTTCTAACAAAGCCCACCCCCCTCCATTGGTTCTCCTAAGCTTGTGCACTTGTCTCAATTCAGTCTCACTTATTCCCTCTGACTTACCAATATTCTAGAAACACTGGAGGTATAGGTTAGGGTTGCCATACATCCGGAATTTCCTGGACATAGCTGTTAGTTAACAGTGTCTAGGCGGCAATTGCTGAGATCTCCAAGAAAATCTGTATGTATGGCAACCCACGCTGGAAATGTACATTTTAGCAAATTTCTTTAAAAATAGCTTTAAAACATTTTCCCCCTAGATTTTTTTATTTTTTTTGGGGGGGGGTCAACTTTTTCAAATACGGCAATCCTAGTAGGCATGGTACAAAGCCAGATATGTAACTTATCTTGTAGAACATAAATGTAAATGCCTTTGTTAAATATAATTATCAAGTTCGCAGTCTTGTTACTTTGAAACAGTACCATATCTTTAAATGTGCACATACACTGTTAGCTTGTTAAAGGTAAAGGTAAAGGTACCCCTGCCTGAAGGCTAGTCGTGTCCGACTCTAGGGTTGTGTGCCCATCTCACTTAAGAGGCCGAGGGCCAGCGCTGTCCGGAGACACTTCCGGGTCATGTGGCCAGCGTGACGAAGCTGCTCTGGCGAGCCGGCACCAGCGCAGCACACGGAAACACCGTTTACCTTCCCGCTAGAAAGCGGTACCTATTTATCTACTTGCACTTTTAGGGGTGCTTTCAAACTGCTAGGTGGGCAGGAGCTGGGACCGACGACGGGAGCTCACCCTGCTGCGGGGATTCGAACCGCCGACCATGCGATCGGCAAGCCCTAGGCGCTGAGGTTTTACCCACAGCGCCACCCGCGTCCCTTTAGCTTGTTACTGTCACTTCAACCATTTTATGCTAAGACAACTTGAAGGAAGCAGGTTTCCAGCGTTAACCCTTTCAATTTCTCCACCTCACTTAAGCCTCGCCAACACAATAACTACAACCGCTGGAAGGCTCTGTCCCCCCCCCCCCCCAATCTTTACTGACCTATTAAAACATAGGTTTGCCTTCATTGCCCTGGAAATCTTCCCTCTGGTACTCCTACCAGTCACTGTAGACCAGCATTCAAAGTTGCTTCTCTCTTCTCCCCTCAGTGCTGCAGACAGATTCTTTCCCTTGTCTCCTCAGCCCAAGCCCAGTGATCCAGCTACCCCAGCAAGTATTTGGCCACCAAGCCACTCTATCTGCAACTCAGGTCTCCCTTTTCTTTACCCAGTCCTCTTCCTCTACTGCCTTCTCACTCTGCTATCATCTTCTTCTGGCTGCCTCCATGAATCCCAACAACTCAGGCATCTCCAACTAACTTCTGCTGCCTAGCACCTGCCCTTATATACAGTGGTGCCCTGCTCTTCTGAGCCCTCTAGTCCAGCCCCATCCAATCACACTGCTTAACTGAAGATTCTAAATCTGCAGCCACCAATCAAAATATTCATACCTCCTTCGCTTTTGCATACTGAGAATTCCAACTGACAGTTGGAAGGCCCCAAATGACAGTTAAACTTTAACCAGAAAGAAAACGTTTTCCATCAAGTACACTACAATGTATATAACAGCACAAAAGTCAGAATACAGTTCAAAGAAACATAATTCAAATAAGCAGGATTTCTTCAGTCCCACACAACATCTGGAGGTCCACAGGTTCTCCCCTTCCCACCGATGATGATATCCATGGTCCACATATGCTGGAAGCTGCTTTATATTTCTTCTCCATTTCAGGATATTTCTGTGATGGGACAGGGCTTGCCTCCCCTTCTGGTCTCTGTCACGCTGGGTTCTACTGCAGTGGAGGAGCTGCTTCTCCAAGACCTCAGCTGGTAAGCTATGTTGATGCTGATAATGATAATATTGTAATTGTCAGGAGTAGAAGGAACTTTAAATTAGGAAGCACTGGTGGAAGATTTCATGGTCAATGTCAGCTGGTGATGTTTCAACCTTCCTTTCTGTTATATTTGCAAATAAAAATTCTCAAAAGAGAGACTAAGGGAAGAGTGGAGAACTCAGAATTTACACTTATCCCTTCACCCCCCCCATCTTTCTCTCCATGAAGTTTACTTCAGGAGGTATCAGGTGATCTCATTCCTAGCAGAAGCCATTTTCTATACGCCTCTTTATCATTTGTCTTATGAGAGCACACTCCAAATGACTTGAATTTGACACTTTTTGAATTCAAGCCACATCTGCAAAGGAAGATTCTTTCTTTGCAGTTACAGCTTGGGAAATACCTGATGTCTTATGATGTGCCTGGTGTCATATTACATGAGGTGATGGACAGGTGGGTAACTCCACCCAGCTGTCAAAGTGTCATGAGGAAGGTTGGTCATGTTTGCATCCAGCCCTCTAACCAACAGGTTCCCCACTTCTGTTCTGCAGTGATGACACTTATATTTCCAGGTAACAAGCAGAGGGGGGCAATGCCCACCTGGTCATTACTGTGTCTCAGGGAGTGGAAGGCCACAGCTATGCCCAGCAGGAAGCTACAGCCCCTTCTGGGGAATGGCCCAATGTCTGGAATGCCCAGAAGGTGTCTACTGTGATGTTGGTTCAGCTAATTACACCAACTGCCCAGTCGGTGAGTTTAGCACTACAAGTATCTTTCCAGCTTCTTCTTTTTCTTTGAACTGCATCAGTCCAATGCTCTGAAGGCCTTCTAGATGCCTGCATCTAGATCTAGATCACTACTGTTGACCTGTCGCTCAGAACGTTGCATCATCCTGACCTGTGAAGCTTCACCACATGGCCTACTCTGATCTATTGCTATGCAGGAAGTATTTGCTGGTGGTCAGATCTGATTTCCTTATGATTCCTTCTCAATCAGAATGTAAGAACATAAGACGAGCCCTGTTCGATCAGGCTTGTAGCCCATGTAGTCCAAATTCCTGTTCTCACAGTGGCCAACCAGATGCCTGAGTGAACTGGCAAACGGGACCCAAGCACAAGAGCTCTCTCCCCTCCTTGTGGCCTCCAGCATTACTGATACTGACTGCAGAATTTTTCCAATTCTTTTTGAAAGCCATCAAAGCTAATGAGCATCACTACCTCCTGTAGGGGCTAATTCTATGGTTTAACTGTGCTCTGCATGAAGAAGTCCTTTCTTTTGTCTGTCCCGAACATTCCACCATTCAGTTTCCTTGGATGTCCATGTGTTCTAGCATCATGAGTAGGGATGGGGAAACTGAACTACAACTCCAGCATTGGTTGTGCTGGCAATAAGAGGGAGACTTCTGCACTGGTATGTAAATGGGTCCCTGCTTGTGGCATTACTGATGCCTATATGTGTTCTTGTGAATTTGATTCCTGGATCGATGCAAATTGCCTTGAACATTTGGAAAAGTGTCCTTTAACAGTCTGGTATTTACAATTTTGGCAATCTCCTTCTCTTCTCCAGGGTACTACTGCCCACGTGGTACAAAGTTTGCCACTCAGTTCCCTTGTCCAAGGGGGACCTACAGTGAGATTCTTAACATCAAGACTGTCTTGGATTGCCAACTATGCCCTCCTGGAAAGTTTTGTTCCAAGCCGGGCTTGGTAAGCCCAGATGGCATGTGCATGCCCGGATGGTACTGCCCTCCTGGGTCAACTTCAGGCAAGCCGGTATCCCCAGGAAACAACACTGGTATTGGAGAATACATTTGATTGCATAATGGTGCATTTGGGGGTGGGAGAAAATGATATTTTTTCCTGGCACAATGGCACAGAATATTTATTTATTATTTAGAAATATTTATACCCTGCCTGCTTAGCAAAGTTTTCAAGGTGGTCTACAATATATTTACTAAAGAGACAGTGCTACAGTAGTCACCACAGCAGGGCAAAGGTGTATATAGGTCCTCCCCACTCGCCTTGTTCTCCAGTGCCCCAACAAATGCCATTCTGCAGCTGAATATCATGGCTGTTGAGGCAGCTACATGTTAGGCCCACAGAGGGCAGGATGTCCTCACTGGGTGGTGGTGGCTGCTGATGTCTCTCGCAGCCTAGGCCCTGGTAGCAGATGCAGGAGGTGCCATGGAGAGCAAAGATGTTCCATACCTTCCTTTCAAACATTAGTCCCAATCTAGGCCAGGACTTCCTTACTGGGCAGCAGCTGATTATGTTTCCGTGGTGCTAGGCTGAGCCAAAAGAGGGACAGAGACATTTTTGTGGTGGCACACTTTTGCACAGAAAAGGTTAACATGTAAACATCAGTGCAGCCCTACATATTACTGGCAGTAGAATTCCGCTTCCTGGGAAACTCCATTTTTATTGTTGTTTAAAGTTTATATAGATTGTGAAGATAATAATATGCTGGTGGGTTGGAGGGGCAAAATGCCTGCTTAAATCTCAGAAGCTGGCTTATTATCAGATTTCCAGTGGGTTGGATAGGGGTCCTTTTGTGTCTCTTGACACACACATACCCCAAACTGGCCAAGACAGATGATAATGCAAAATAGACAGTGCAAAATGGCAAAAATAACAGTCCACACAGGATAAATTATGTGGTTTGAAACCAGTTTTTATATAGATGCATAAATTTTGGGTCTCCTAGATGCTGAATTTTAATTTTTGAAGTACAAACTATTGCCCATAGTCAGGATGTATACTTTTCAGACACTGTCTTTTCCATTCCATGAGCAGGATCCACTGTCCAAGTTTTAATTCAAATATGTCCTGCTGGAGCATTCTGTCCGGAGGGATCTCCTGTTCCCATCCCTTGCACTCCAGGTAGATATACTTCTCACTAACCTTTCAGAGCATACTTTCAAACTTTGGTTAATTAGAAGCTTCCTGGTTTGGCTGCTCACACCACAAAGGGTGGCTTGAAGGGGCTGTGTGTGCAGACAAGGGGCTCAATTATATCATTGTTTAATATGCAAAGATATAATTATGCAAACCAGCTGAAATTTGCAGAAAATAGACCACACAGAAATTGACTGTGCAGCTTGCTTGTCTCTCCCTCCCTCTCTGTTCAGGGAGCCTCTCACCTCACCCCTGGTCTTTCCTCTACTCAACTATATCTCATCCAAGCCCTGTAACTCAACATTTCTCCCAAAGCCTTACTTGCAAACAAAGTACAGTGGTACCTCGGGTTAAATACTTAATTCGTTTCGGAGTTCCCTTCTTAACTTGAAACTGTTCTTAACCTGAAGCACCACTTTAGCCAATGGAGCCTCCTGCTGCTGCTGTGACACCGGAGCACAATTTCTGTTCTCATCCTGAAGCAAAGTTCTTAACCTGAGGTACTATTTCTGGGTTAGCGGAGTCTGTAACCTGAAGCGTATGTAACCCAAGGTACCACTGTATATTTACAACCCCAAGGCAGCAAATCTAGATCTACTGGGGTTTTGCCCTGTTCTAGGCATGCCTTTGAACAGATCACCCTGTTTGTTCTCTAGCCTTAGCTTAGAGGTTCATTCCAATAGTGCCGGAATACATGGCTAGTTAATGGGAGACCCATTGGGGGCACAAATGCTGAATCTGAATGTGCTCTTCTTCCCTCTTTCTTTAGGTTTTTACTGTGCCTCTTCAGAATTGGCTGCGCCTTCAGGCCCTTGTGATGCCGGTTTCTACTGCACTGGGAGCTCTACCATCCCTAACCCAATAGACGGGGCAGTGGGAGATATTTGTCCTGGAGGCCATGTCTGCCCACAGGGAAGCTCTTCTCCCATTCCATGCCTTGCAGGTAGGTCCCAAAATAGCTGCTCAGCAAAGCACTGATGCCATAATCAATTCCAGAGATCAGGGGCATTGGCAGGGGTGGGGGCAAACCCCAGGTCTACTCTACCTGGCTGAGGATCTCCTTCCCTCCTCTTTGTTTTTGTTTTTTTAAATCTTTGCTTACAGGGCAGCTGGGCACACTGCAAAGCCCAATGCCAATGTGACTCCAGCTACCTACCTTGTTAATTTGTGGAGGATACAATCCCCATATAATACGTTGGGTCCAGAAAATTGGGTTTGCATCCCGTAGCTCAGTCAGCCCTGATAGCAAGTGTGTGTTTGTTTCCCTCCGAAAGTCAGCCTAAATTTGCATCTATACATCTGAAATATGCAAATATGGATCATGGGCTTGTACCTAGCACTGCCTACTTGCTTAACTGAAACTCTGAAGTTCTGCTTTATCTATGTACTCAATTCTCAGACTGAGCCTAGGTTTTGTCATCATTGGCAGCAAAAAAACAACAAAAAACCAAAAAACCAAGAGTTCTTCTGGGCCAGCAAAGATGGAGATAAGCATTCCCCCAAATCATAATATTTTTATATTGTACCTCCCAGAAACAGGAACGAAGAGGAGAGCCTATTGGATTCTGATTGTATCTGTTTTCTCACATGCGAGTAAAG